TATAGACCGTTAGTAATGCAGTAGAGATCTAAATAGGATTTTATAAGTTCTATAGATGACATCCATCTCATACACTAATATAAATCATTATCTGAATGTCCATAATGAAATCATTTTAGTGCTTACTTATTCTCTAGAATGTGCTAACTGAGACAGAACGATTTTTGCAAAATATCCTATTATTTTAATAAATATATTGATAATTTTATAATGATTTGCCTGAAGGTCCTTAGCGTAGATTGATTTTTCTATAGTCACTTTGAATTAAAACAAAGAATGAGGAAATAATCTGGGATAAAATTGGCTTTACAACACTTTTATATTACTAACACTATGACACTACCGGAAAGCGTACTAAAATTAAAAATAGGAATGTTTTACATCAGTTATATTCAATTTTGTTGAGAAGTTATTTTGATTCTTAGTATTACCAGACAATACAAATTGGTTTTGTGAAAAGTCAGGGGATACTAAGTTAGTATCCAATATTTTCAGACAATACAAAATTATTTGGGGAAAAGTTAGTCGGTACTAAGTTCGTATCCTAGTATTTTCAGACAATATAAAATTATTTTATGAAAAGTTAGTCGGTACTAAGTTCGTATCCTAGTATTTTCAGACAATACAAAATTATTTTGGGAAAAGTTAGTCGGTACTAAGTTCGTATCCTAGTATTTTCAGACAATACAAACTTATTTTGTGAAAAGTCAGGGGATACTAAATTCGTATCCTAGTATATTCAGATAATACAAAATCATTTTGTGAGAAATTGCTCTTATTTTCTTTGTGCAAAGCTACACAATGTGCTATCTGCACTTTGTCCGCCGCAGGAAATCTGAGCGGAGTTTTGTGTTGCTTATTTGAGAAAGCAGGAGGTAGTAACTTCGGTTTCTAGCATTCTCAAATAATACAAAATGATTTTGTGAGGGGATAGTAAGTTTGTATCCCAACATAGTCAGATAAGATACATTTTTTTAGGAGAATAAGAAGGCAATTTTCTATGGAGGCGAGGTTTGTTTGTTTGAATTTATGCACAAAGTTACACAATGGGCTATCTGTGCTCTGCCCACCACGGGTATCGAAACCCGGTTTCTAGCGTTGAAAGTCCGCAGACATACCGCTGTGGGCTGGAGGCGAGGAGTTATTTTCGTTCCTAGTATATTGAGTAACTTTCGATAATCCTTTCAATAACCTGCTTGATAACTTAAAAAAATGCAATGAATAATTGTTCTTGTCATAAGCCTTATTATATTTCAATATTATATTCCTTATTCAGTCCCTTGGAGTTTTATCTTTTTTTTAAGAAGAAGACGAGCTCGTAAGGCTGGCTAGTATACAACAAACGCAATATTGGCCGAAACTCTATTTATATAAGCAATTATTATAAACTTGCACACCATCATAATGTATAAGATACTTTTTAGCATAAAAGAGTCCTATGAATCAAACAATGAAAATATCACTCCTCAAGTCTTGTTCCTTTTATACTTTTGTTTTCTGTGATGTGATTAAAAAAACTTTAAGTTTCATTGGTCTTTCGAGTTTAGGCATTACAAACTTGTAAACAACAAAAAATTAGAAGCTTGTATTATACGTTGTCTAGTGCCAGGTTATTTCTTCTGTTTTTTATTTCTTCAAATATTTGAAACATTTACGATTTACGTAAATGATAAAAATTATCCATTTGTTCTTCGATAATTTTACATTCTCTGTATTATCACGTTAGATTACTAGTCGTTGTGATTACTTAAACGTTTTAACAAATTGAAACTTAAATTTAGAAATAACTCGTCAAATTATCATTCAGACCATAGAAAATTAATAAGATTTTAAAGTTACAAAATAAACGCGTTTCTCTCTGTATTTGAATATCTTAAATATTCCATACGTAACATGGATGTTTTAGAAGTTCCAGTTTTCTGCTGATTGGTTACGTCAATCATTCGTGATTCCAAGTTATAAGAACTGAGCACAAACAGGATGTGAACACATTCCTCTACCACTCTCTACACATATGCATGTATACATATATATATAACATGTGCATGTCCTAATGAAGACAGAAGTGGAAAACTGGAACGATGAAACTTGTTTTGTTATCTACGCAATGATATATAGGCAAGATCTTTGAAAGAATCATTTACACGATCATGATTTTTTGGAATCGTGAAGAGATATTTAAAATGGTACCCCGTGGTTTCGATTTTACGCTTTATTTAGTCTGTAATTCAACATTTCAACAAGTACAGTGTTCTAATCCACTTCTGATAGTTAGTCATTGGTTACGCGCACCTAATTTTCTATATCTAAAAAAAGGCATTAACAATAAAATATGTTGAAATAAGTAAATGGTTGTTTACAGCATGCTCGAATGTCTTATTTGCCCGAACCCAAGCTGACTGCGAAATGGTTGCGTGCGTAATTGTGTTAAACGTCTGTTTAACATACACTCGGTTGTTTCAAATTAAAGACAATAGACGATTTATTTAGTGCAGGAAACACAGATTGCTTTTACTCTTTGACCCAGATTTAAAACCACCCTTTTTCGTATTAGTCGTGAATGCATTTTGACTTGAAAAACTAGTTTCTATACGTCAGCCCCCCCCCCCCCCACTTCGTATCATGTTAATGAAGTTGTTGTTTTTTAACACGCTTAGAAGCTCTTACCACAAGTAAACCGTTTTTTTTTTCGGCACGAGTAGTTAAGTCGTTAAAAACTGATATACAAAATGTTGAGTGGTTTCATTTCCAAACCCACATAATTTTATCCATCTAATGTTTGTCACACTTTATTATATAGAATAAAGTAGTTCTTTTATTATACACGCTTTTTCTGGGAACAATGATGTAGCATATACAATTGATTGGACTTATAAGCATCGTAGAAGTAACAAAGTCAATAAAAACAAGCAAAATATGAAGTCTGTGAGTCATATCCATTCTTTAACTTATCCACCTCGCTATAGTCCCCAAAATCAAGAGTAACAAAACGAGAGCCTTGAGGAGGATTTTGATGACTTCATTTAAGAATTGTAAGTGTAACTTCATATCTTTTAGCCTTTATTAAGAACTGTAAGTGTAACTTCATATCTTTTTAACCCTTACAAAGAACTGTAAGTGTATCTTCAGAAGGGTGTATAACATTCTTAGAACGGAGGAATTTTTTTAACAGTTTGTATATGATTATACCAATGTGCAACTTACTCCGGCTCTCGTATTAATTAAGGGCTAAAAAGATATGAAGTTACACTTACAGTTCTTAATAAATGCTAAAAAGATATGAAGTTACACTTACAGTTCTTAATAAAGGCTAAAAGATATGAAGTTACACTTACAGTTCTTAATAAATGCTAAAAAGATATGAAGTTACAATTACAGTTCTTAACAAAGGATAAAAGATATGAAGTTACACTTACAATTCTTAGTAAGGGTTAAAAAATTTTAGTCTCTTAACTATCAAAACAAGAGTGGTGTCATGAAAATAATTCTATTTTTTCTTTAACGACGAACTATCTTTTACTGTATATAGAATACTGTGTTACAGTTCTTAAACTTGAAAAATAAATTTTTCCATTAATATATTCTTTCATGCCTGAATGTAACTCTTTTTTTGTTGTTGTTTCCGAGAACTTATATGTCATTTTCACGTGGGTTTAATAGAGCGTTTCTTATGCTTTGCTACGTCTGTTTGAGAAACGGAAGAATCAGAGACACACACACAATGCCAAAAAACAATAATAACTTAAGTTTTAGCTAGTGAATTTTCCACTAAATATTTTGTGTGTTCACCTTTCTCTCTTTTCTTTTTTGCAAATATTATTTCTAAATTGGTAATTTTGATGAATTATGTATTTTTATTCCCTTAATGTGGCTAGCATTCCTTTGTGTTATTTTTATTGTGTAGATCTTTAATTATAAATTATCAGAAAAAAACAACAACTTATAAACTAAATTATTGACTTATGCTGTCTAAAACCCGTGATTAGTATTTTTCTAGCGAGTTGATTAAATCATGTGAACAAAGCATCCGTAATTATCAATGACGTCAGATTTTTTGCCCTTTATCTATATAATTACTTGCACCTCAATTGCCTATTGCGTTTCGTTCAGAATTTCATCTGGGAAGAAAACACGTTCCGAGTGGATTATTGAAAGACGTTCCCCGAGTCCCTTATTTCGTGTCGTCAAGGCCAGTGCTTGAGGATGTTCTTCACATTTCAGACTTTTCACTGGAGTTGTTGGGGCCTAACGCTTAGGAAACGCTAATAATTCATTTGTACAAAGATTTAGCGAACAACAACATCTTGTTAGGACTAAAGTATGATTCTAAGTATTTACGTTTTGGTGTTTTTAATTATTATATATATATATGATGGATAAGCATTACCTGTAAAAAAAATACAACATCAACAACAAAACAAAACACACGAACTTAAAGAAGTGGAGCAGAAAAAGGAAATTGCACAAAAAAACAAAATAATAATAAGTGGGCCACAAGAGATAAATTATTATTTTCTTGAAGATGTTTCAGTTTTCTCACAGTAGCGAATTTTTTTTACATGTGAGCTAGACTTTTTAAACGTGAAAAAGATGTCAAAATATGAAAAACAAGTACATAAAATGTGTGTGTATATATATATATATATTTCTTCTGATCACCAAACGTTTGAAATTATAAACAAAACAAACATTGCACAATTGTCTGGATTACTAACACAAATATCTGAAAATCAGTCTGAGAAAGGCTCTCCTAATTCACTTTAGAAATTATATCATGAACGGTAAGTAGAGTCAGTCGAAGAATGATTTATTACACCATCAAACTGAGTAAGTATTTTGAAATGTCTACTGCTATTTATTTTAATAAATTAAAATATTAAAATGTCGTGACACCATTTTGTGTCCGTTATTCAAATACGGAGACTTTTACTAATATTTATGGATGTTTTGTGTAAAAATGGTCTTCAAGGTAGAATTAAAACAAACACAAGATTACAAACTTTTTGCAGATGATTTAAAAGCTCCATTTTATGTTGGCATAAAAAATACAATGAATACAACTCTGAATACAGAAACATCCATTGATATTTATATACGGACCACTACATTACACGTATCGTTGTACACGATATTGTAATAGTATTTCATTTAAAACTTCTCCAAGTCCACGTACCTTTGAGAATGGGTAACTTAAGAATAATTAACAAAAACAGGAAGATATGTACGAATTAAGATTAATGAAGTAGGTTATGACATGTCAGGCGTTGCCCAATAGCCAACTTTTTATACACATATGCGATGTTTTGAAGATTAGCAGATATATACCATGTTGCCCCTTTTTTTTTATATCAGATTTAGAAAAGAAACATTCGACTATAATTTTGATAACTGACATGGACTACAAAACATTAGATTAGATTATCTTGTCATTGAATTAATATTATTATTATCATCCACAATATAGTGATATAATGTTTATCATTGGCTTCCTGCTACAAAACATTAGATTAGATTATCTTGTCATTGAATTAATAATATTATTATTATCCACAATATAGTGATATAATGTTTGTCATTGGCTACCTGCTACAAAACTGACCAGTCAACTCCGACTTTTCGAGACAATTCTTATATCTTAATTACTCATGCATCACACGAAAAATCACATTTTATGGTTGAGCTCACACAAGGCTTGCTGACATTAACGTGTCCTAGATTATCCAGAGAACAAGTAACATGCAAAAAAATAATAGATAAAAGTTGATTGCAAATCCGAATTACGACATGCTGTTTTGTACCTGCACAAAAATTAGTTTTAAGTATAAATAATTGAAACATATTTTGTTTCCTGCAGTTGTTTCTTTTTCAAACCAGTTTTGTAAGGCCTTCCGATAAAGCCAGTCAATATTCTATATAACTTTCTCCTTCTCGTTTACGTTGAATTTTAAAAAAGCTTAAAGATCCACAAACAGTTTTCTGGTCACTAAAATGATAAATATTTAACTTGTTCTGTAAATACACAATATTCGGGTTTTAAGCTTTAAAATCACTTAGGATTCTCTAGATCTATAGTCTTTATTTTGTTTTGTGTATATGTGTGAGTGTAGAACTCCTGGTAACAGAACATTTTCCTTCATTACCTTTCCTTTCACACCTTGCTGTTTGACCCGACCGGTTGGAGAGTACAATCTATAACCAGTAACTCTTATGATAATGTAATTCAAGGCAGATTAAAACAAATAACAGCATAAGTAGCCCGAAGTTAAGTATACCTGTAACACAACTGTCACTGCTCAATATATTTTGAAAACACCGCCTAAAGCAAAATGTACGTATTTCTATGGGCTTCCTGGGATATATAGAATGCTTACAAATACATGATCATTGGCATTATACAATTGCCTTCACACTCAGGCAAAGTTAATTTAAAACACACATGTCAGTTCAGTCCATAAACAAATAATGCATGCAGATATGGCGGTTAGCATTAAATAGTAATATAATATGAAAGAAAAAACCTTGGTGAACAGAACTTAAAATATAACGAATTTTATACAACAGTATACATGACTTATTTCACAATGCTATCACAAAAATGCTTTAACATATATCTTTTTTTACCTTCTCCCACTTCAATTAAAATACTTAAACATAATATATCCCCCTCTCACCTTCTCCTCCCAGTAAAATGCTTTAACATGTCATATCCACTCTCATCTTCTCCCCCTTCCCTTCTCGTTATCATTGTAATAATAACAATAACATTTCCATGTCACTTTGAGCAGCTTACAAACTCATGGCACAAAAGCACTGGAAATAAAAGATTTCTAAAGTTAATGCAGATTATAAGCTTCTTAGCAATAAGAATGTCTGTTTGATTAATCGAATAACCGTGCTGGTGTTAAATGATAGCTAAGTGCTTAGATATCTTAAATAGCACAGCACAAATGGCGTTACAGTGTTTCATTATTATTATCATTTCTGGTTCGTATTCGCTAAAGCAATAGATCGAAGTACCAGGAACAGTCACTAAGAGTATGAGTAACATCCATGAATGACAAGAACTTTCGTGCACAATAGATCGAAGTACAAGGAACAGTCACTAAGAGTATGAGCAACCTCCATGAATGACAAGAACTTTCGTGCACAATAGATCGAAGTACCAAAAACAGTCCCTTAGAGTATGAGTAACATCCATGAATGACAATAACTTTCGTGCACAATAGATCGAAGTACCAGGAACAGTCACTAAAAGTATGAGCAACCTCCACGAATGACAAGAACTTTCGTGCACAATAGATCGAAGTACCAGGAACAGTTACTAAGAGTATGAGTAACATCCATGAATGACAAGAACTTTCGTGCACAACTTCCCATAAACAGTGCTCACATGATTCAACAAATCTTAAAGATACAACGTCCCAATGCGTTTATTTTGTGTTGCATGTATCAACTTCGGAGTACTTGTTTCATGCGCAAAGATAAATTTCCGATTTTCAATTTTATTGTTAATTTCGTTTTGGATTAAGTTATATTTGTTGCAGCTATCTAAATGATGGACATCCCAAAACAGGTTGGTCATTGATTTAGGCCTCGGAAGCTTTCGGTTTCTAGGCTTAGAATCTTTTTCTTTGGAACCCGCAGACCCTGACGATGTCTGTCCTCCTGAATTACTAGAATCGAGTGTGTTGTTAAACTCCGCTACCAAATTAGTCAACGACTTATAACGAATGTGAAACAAAGGTGATGACGTTGTCAGAGCCTTACTATTTCGATAGCTTTTTGCACGAGAAGTTCGCTGGATAGGCATAGCAGTATCTTTCGAAGGGGATGTTTTATTATGCTTGAGGAACCTATTTTTATGAATGTATTTTTGCTGGGAAGGGCTTTTGAAGAAAAGTTTATTGTTATAAGTGGAGTGATTTCCACTGGCTATGTATACTTTCCCAGCGCTGTTTGAGCGAATAGGTGCTCTCGGGTGGTGAATTAAAGTATTCGCGCTCTTCCTTTCATCATTCTTTTGCTCCACCTTTTCATAAATGTGTTCTTCGGGATGAACATCTTTACTGACTACCGTATCGTCCTTTAGTTTTGAAGAAGATTTGTTGACGATACTGACTGTAATTTTCTGTGCAGTAGTTTGAGTTGATTCAGCACACATAGACAATTTCCTGACGGGAATAGTTTCGATTGGAGGTGGTTCGGGCTTTTCTTTTTCTTCTGCAACATCATCGGTGTCCTTTTGCGACAAAGACTGTGGGGCTGGGGTGGGATGTATTGTAAAATCCGTACACTTTGTTGTGTTTGGAGTTTCTAAAGAAGAATTATCTTTGGTTTTGAGTTCAGTCTTTACTTTACTAGGAAGGGGGGCAAATCCACGAACATAGTCGTAAATTTGATCAATCTCATCGTAGCGGTCATCGGGAACTTGTCGGTTGTCAGAGGGTTTAGTAACTCCATTTTGAACGTCATTGTTATCTCCTGGAGCAGAGACCTCTGGCTCTAAGTTTACAAGCGTTTTGGCGGTCTCCTGACACATAGGATCTGAGAAACTTCGTTTAATCAAAGGAATGTTTCGAATATGCTTTGGATGTCTATGATTATGAAAGTAACGGCAGTTCAACTTCCCCTCGACCCTTTCTTTTTTGAGAAATGGGTCGATGATCTGCATTCTATCAGATGTTTCTTGCATCATCTTCTTGCATTTTTCTGATAACCTTGAGTATTCACGAAGCTTGATCAAACTCTCTACGTTACGTGGGGCTTGAAGCTTTAGCGGTAGATTAATAGGAAGAGAAACAATGCTAAAATCTTTCAGTAAGGGTAAGACCATAACACATTCTTCTTCAAGCAAAGAACACAACCTCATTTCGGGAATAAAGCTTGATTTGAATCCAGGTGGTGGTTTGCCATGCACAAGTCTCACCATCATTGGAAGTCGTTTTGATAACAAATTCTTAATACTGTGTACACCAGAAATGTTGTCTTCTCCAGCAATGGGACTAAACTTTCCCTTTTGTTCAAGGCTTAGATAAACAGTCTCTCCTCGAGTGGTAAAACAACGGAGAAAACGTCCAGATCCCTTTCCTTTGTGTAATGGCATCAGAAGTTCGTTGATCAGAACTAGGGTTTCACCTGCTGCAATTGTTCGTGTTTTATCCGAAATACTATCAGGATCTTCACTCTTGCTCAGGAATCCTTTCACATTTTCTCTCACTAGACAAGTTTCTGGAAGTACACGAGCGAGTTCAGTTACGTTCTCAAGACACCGCACAGCACGTCCATCCTCCGAAAGAATCTCAAACCAACCGTCGTAATTATCTGGAATGGCTAACTTAGGTCCTAGTGGCACAACGCCACGATTGTCCTTAAACTTCACACACTGAGCTCCCACTCGCACTTTCTTTCCAGCTGACGCAATAAACACTATTTGGTTTAGAGACGGGCAAGGTAAGGTTGGCACTCCGACATTTTGGTACTGTCCTTTGATAATTTTGGCTGCTTGTGGAAGAGTGAAATTCTGGGTAAACTCCTTGAGATAATATCCTTTATCACCCCACTGGATCACAGAGAGATATGCACTGGCGTCGCTGTTGGCCATTCTAGGCACTAATGGGCAAAATGCTCTAGAGAAACCTGGACAAGGTTACGTTCTATATGCTGAATAAGCTGCCGGCCTTCAACCTCGCTAATCCACGGTTGGTTGGTTTTTCTCTAGGTTACCTCCGGGGCTTTGCTCCACACTTTACTGAGCAACAGCCGCCTTCTGACTCCAGACTGGTTTGTTGGTCTTCTGACATCTGACGGACCTGGTGGGTAAAATACTGCTTTAGTACATAATAATGTAGTAAATTTATTTGTCTAAGTACATGTTGAAAAAGTTCCCAGTTCATTTTTTCCACGTTACATGAGATAACATTCACAGATCAACGTCGTGACTTAATTTTCGAATTGATTTAAAGAAAGGTAATTCTCAGAGTTACTTTCAAAAGATAACCTTGAAATATTCACAGTTCTTATAATTACATCACAATTTTTACCACTACAAATGACTACTTGTTATTTCATACATCTTATCCACATCAGTGTGGAGCGAGATGTAAAGTGTTTTATACTGAATTTTATAGATAATTTCATTTTTTAAAGATTTGCCAGAATTTTAATCACGATAGGTTTTGAATAGCAATAAAATAAGGGTAATAATAATAAGAACAATATTTTTTTTATTAAATATAAAACTGTCTAGTAAGTGAATTAAAACAGATGAAAATATCATAATCTATGATTTCAAACAATTTGTTGTGAAAGATCATCACAGAAGAATAAATTCAACTAAAATATAGCGGAAAAGTAAGCGATTATAAAGGGTGTAATATATACGGAGTGAGGCAAAAGTTAGCATGTTTTATTTGTTAAACTTTACACAAGGCTACTGGAGGCCATCTGTGCTTGCCGGCCCTACTTTTGGGATGATAGACAAGACGGAAAACAGCTAGTTAACACACCCACTGTCCACGTTACTCTTTCACCAACGAACATTGAACTGACCGTCACATTATAATGCCCCCAAGACTGAAGGGACGAGCAAGTTTGGTGACAGATTTCGATCCCACGGAAAGTATATTGCGAGTCATTACCCTAACCAACAGGCCATACCAGCACCAAAAACGTAACTATATAGTTGGTTTTTTACAGTTGTTAGTAAAGAAAGTAAGATGAAGGCATTTGAAATCAATTTTTGTTTTTTTCAAAGTGGTATGCATAATTTAAACTATGCTCTAAATGAAATAACTTCATAGTCACTTTTGTCCTACTCTGTATGTCTATAGCACGCACGTGCATACAAACATCAAAAGATATTTCATGATGGATTGAGAGAAGAGTGTCGTTAGTTCATTGGGCTACACTTTCCACAGATATATTTTTAAAACAACCAAGAAAGGCATTCATAAAACAAGTTAATTTTATAAGCATGTTTGATACCTTGGTAATAGGGCGGTTAGTCCTAGCCCATCTAATCATTCTCCAAATGTTGAACAACCAGAACATCGTATATCCCACGTTTTATTATGTTTACGTAAACGACTTTCATTATAATAGTTGAAATCTTACATTTACAACTTCAAACTTTTCTCTCAAAGTAACATGATAATATACCCCCCCCCCCTTCACGGATTGTAAGAATAAATCTTTAAAATTGTTTCGGTTTTATATTTTCAATAAGCTTGAAAAACCGATATAGGAAAAAAATAATGTTTACCGTCACAGCAATAGAGGTTTAAAAAACATTGCAAAAATATCTTCCAATTCAAGATAACATGCTTGTTATTCCTTTACAATATCACTTTTAGGATCTTTTCATTACACTCGAAAAACGCTTAGAGGATCAATAAATAGAAATATTACTTTAAAGGCAGGGTTTCCTTACGGACAGAATTACCTACTGGTTTGTGCTTGTATTTCGAAAGGTTGCAGATTCGAGGCTTTCCCACGCCATGTTTTTGTGTCTTTCAGCAAACATTTTAACCCGAAATGCTTCAGTCTACCCGTCTGTGTAATGGGTACCAGCGAATAGCTTGAGGGTTAAACTGCAATAGATTGGCATCCCATGCAGAGAGAATGTGTCACTATTCTGATTCGCTTGAAACACAGAAAATCGGAGTTAAGCCTTATGTTCCTTTTAAGAAAAGACAAGGATTATCTTACTTAGAATTTCCTTAAACACCCGCACTTGCAGCTTTCTTTACACATCCTTATGCTGTTAACTTAGAACCAAAAGTTACTTGATACTGCAATACACGTGTTTTCATTTTAATCTTGGTATTTAAAGTTGCCAACTTTATATCACAAATCACTAACCTCTACGACGAATCTCTCTAATAATTCAAAATAATTTCCAAATGTTGATATTTTCTATTTCTTTCCTAACAAGTACAATCACGAACTTTTTTCTTTATATAAAAGTAAAATCTGTAATTTTTTTTTCTCGATACTAACCCAAGTAGTGGCTTCTCGGAAGATTAGCAGTAAAGTTACGAACTTACAACGCTAATATCCGGGATTCGATTCTTCGTGGTGGACAGCCCCTTGTGTGGCTTTACACTAAGAAAAACAAGCAAGTTGTAGTAGTGCAGTGGCAAAGGATAAACTCAAGAGTAAAAGTAAAACATGAGGAATTAAAACAAAAATAGATTCCAAGATTGGATGGTTTCAATAATATTGTACTTGTGTCGTTCATATGTATGTAGAGTCAACCCTGAATTAAATATTAGCTATAAGGTATTGTGGAGTTTTTATAGCCCTCTTTTTGTAGCAGTTTTTTTTTACACTATATCGAAGGTAGAGCTACAAGGACAACACTTGTTTTATTCCTTGATTAACGTCTTTATAGATGCCGTGTCGTGACTAAGGTCTTTATGAATACCAGTATCATGATTTTCAGTCTTTATAGATGCCGCGTCATGGTTAAGGTTCTTACTGGAAAGGTATGATTTTCGATTTTGATGGATGCCATGTCATAGTTAAGGCTGTTATGAATACAGAATCTCGATTATGGTCTCTATAGATACCGTATTATGGTTAAGGTTATTATGGGAAGGGTATGATTTTCAATCTTGATGGATGCCATGTTATGGTTAAGGATGTTTTGGATACAGAATCTCGATTAAGGTATTTATGAATACAGTGTCATGATGAAACACAGTATGAAACATCGTGAATATTCACAGATTTGTTTTTCGTTGTTAATCGTTGGTTCTGAGGAGCCAGGAGAATCTTCAAGCACACAACTTTAGCCACTTCTGGCTACTAATGATGATACTTATAAGTATTCCAAACTCGGATAAGTTTGCTAGATATTTGAATACACTGCCTGTCACGAAAATATGAGCATTCCCAAGTGTCCGTTTGCTATTCAAGGCAACCTTCTTCGTGATATTTAATCTGAAGCACAGTCCTTCTCTTATTTCTCACATTGGTTTTTAATCTGCGATTTGGAGATACTTCATATGAAGTCTGTATTAACGAACGCACTAAAATGGCATGTTTTCAGTGTCAAAATCCCCTTTTTCAATTGAAGTTACACAGAGGAATCAGTTACTAAATGAAAATTAAAGCTGGTTTGAAACTATGAAAACTAAGACAACCGAAGCGTGTGTATATTGGTGCAAGCGTTTTGAAGGTTTGAAATGTCTTCTCGCTTCAGCAGGTGGCACTAATTAAAAGGTGGCAAGCCAAGCTTTATACCTCTCTTAACAAGTTTAGCCTTGAAGTTTGATTTCAGACAGTGAACATGCCAACACAGATGAGTGTATTTCCACTAATTTTTTATTCAAACATATATGAGACCTTATCTCTTTGGTTACTCAACCTATCTCTCTGTTTCACCCAAATGGAATAAAATATGAATTAACAAATTACAAACACAAGACGTACAACAAAATATAACTCTTAATAGGTAATTTTTGTCTTCTCTTTCTCTGGTTGAACAAATAGAGCACTTGAATATTGATGTAGGAACGTAATATTCAAATACACCCCTTTCATTTTATAACAATGTCTTTGTCAATAAATACCGACAAAGAAAGCGAGAGAAGTTTCACCTTGCTCAAACACTATGCTCTATGAGCTCGTCTACATAACAGTGCACACATTCACACAATAAAGTACACATTGCTTGACTGAACGAATGTGTGTAACTTATTGAGAGTTTTCATTGTTCGAAAAATACTTCAAAAGTGTGAGTAGTGCCTTTAGGGCTAAGCTAATGATGCTATTCACTTAAAGAGTTTGTAAAACACTAGGCACAGAATGTTGTCAATATTTACTTATTGAGGCCTAGAGTACTTCCAATAATTATAAAATAACACACTTTTTATATATCTGTTTCAATCAAAACAATCCAAGGAAACTGAGTCAATTCTTCAAGGAATAACGAAGCATAATGTCAGTGAAAGACTTTGCTGTCTCCAGTTTCAGAATTGAAAACAAGAATATTGTTGTATGAGGATCGACATAGGATAAACTAGATAAAGAGCTGATAGAAAATGTCTTACATAAGCCTAACATCCGGACTTTAACTACCAGAACTTCTCTTTCTTAGGTATTAACATTGAACATGTTAAAGAATAAAACAAATATGTATTATTATTAAAGTATTTATATATTTTGTCGCTAGTAATCGTGTGAGAGGAAATCGGGAATTGTATAGTGGTTAGCTTGCTCGCATTGTGAATCCGAAAGTTAATGGTTTGTGTTCTGTGCCACATAAACGCGCTCCGTCCTTTGGGCAGTGGATGGCTATGAGACGGATGTTCAAATTCCACTATTTAGTTAGAGTAACTCAAAAGTTGACGGTGGGTGCTAATGACTAGCTGCCTACTCTTTAGCTTATCATTTTAAAATTAGGGAAGGATATGCACAAATAGTCCTTCTTAGCAATGCGCGAAAATCCCAGACAAATAAAAGACTTAGATAACTTTTTCCTCATACATTTCTTTTTGAATCTTAATCATAATTGAATTTATGTTTTCGCATTATGATTAGTTAGTAAAGAGTGTTTCACTTTTTCTGGGTTTGTTGAATATTTGACTTTGCTAACCATTTAAAATTAATAATTTTTATTTATTTATTTTTTACACCAGGCATCCAGGAACGAAAAAGACAAAAACTCGTATTGATAAATGATGTTGCTTTACAAAGCTTCACAATGGGCTATTTGCGCTACGTTCACCTCAGAGAATAGGAAATAATCTGGCTACGCATGATACTGTAAATAGTTTTGTATTAAAGGAAGTCATTGAAAAAAAAACCAGTAAAGTCTTTCGTTGGGAAATCTTAATTAACAACAACATTAAAAAAACATTTTACGTAATTGAATGTGCTCAATTTTGCATTGTTAGAAATTATCTTAGAGTATGCTAAGTTTTGTTATCACGAGCCTATTCACGTTTAAAAGATTTAGAGCTTTATTAAACGACCACTTCGTCAATTCATCTCTAGCGCAAGCCTCGTTTTTCAAATTGAACAAAATAGTATGTCATTGAAAATTCAAATAATATAGTCACATAGTTTGCTCAGCTGAGTCATTTATGACAACATCATTCATTGTTCAGCTGACTAAATAAGCAGTAGAAGTTCAAAGTGTAGACTGGGCATCATTACCTCCTTGACTAATGCGGAAAATGTAATCAGCTGCTAACAAACAAACAATGCTCTATATACAAATGGGTGTGTTTGTAATTTTCCTGATGATAAACTCACTTCAACGCTGTTAGAAAACCAATCCTATTAACGAAAAACTCCACTCGACATCAATATCAAATGATGCTTTAAACGAACTGTAATTTGCTCTATTGAAAATGATGGCGAACACCCTTTCTCCTTGTTTGAGGAAGCCTCTTTCTGCAGATCGAGGCCAGCCATACAAATACTTGTTGGAAAATACTAAATCAGGAAATTCCTTCCTTTCCACCTCCTTCCCCGACCTAATTTAAAATTTGGAACTTTCATCCTCACTGTAAAGTGTGGGAGAAAACGCAGAAGCTGGCAGCCAGCCGGTGGGGTAGTAAGGTAACTAAATATGAGCTTGAAGTTAAAGGGATCCGAACCGGTTTCTCTGTGAGCCCGACGTTCGAGGGATCCGAACCGGTTTCTCATGGGTGGGAGAAAACACAGTAATCAGGTTAAAATATAAATGTACAATAATGTTGTATGTCATAGACGTATGGAACAATGTGGCTAGGATACATGGTGTTATGTGCATAGATTGAAAGAGATAACACCTGTTTGTTTTGAAAATTCGCACAAAACTACAGTAATATTAACTTTACTACGATACACAACTATCTGCGGTAACTGACCCCAATTCTGAGCTGACAGACAAGAAGGAAGGCAGTTAGTCAACAGCGCTCACCGCCAACTCACGGGCTACTCTTATCTAATAGTGGGATTTGACTGTCACTCTTATAATGCACCCACTGCCCTAAAGTGCGGAGAATATTATTGCAGCAAGAAGATGCGAACCCTAGCCTGATACACCAACCATAGGCCACGCAGACATAGCACGAATACATTAATGTATACATGTTTCTTAAACCTAGAAACTGTTTTGCTACTCTGCTAAAATACTTTCAGTTGCCTCAGCAACAACATATGTTTGGTTTTTAACACATTAAAAATTACATTAAACGTTTTTTTAAAACTAACGAGTCATACATAGACAATTTTTTAAACTAACGAGTCATACATAGACGATTTTTTTTAACTATCGAGTCATACATAACGTTATCTTAAACTAACGAGTCAGTCATACATAGACGTTTTTGATAGAAGAGAACCACATTTCAGGTAGTTTTTAAGAAAAATTAAGTTCAAAAGTAAAAGGAAAGAACTGACCGTTTTCGTTAATTAACAAAGTATTCAACGGTTCATTTGGTGCGCTGATTACAAAGGAGAATTATGCTATATTTTTTAGCGTTAAATGAACTTTCTCTCAAAACATATTAAACATAGTCATGATAGCAAACATATTCCACATTTATACGTTATTTAATCAAATGTATGGCACGTTAATACATTACTATGTGTTTTATGGGCAGATTCTGCGAAGTTTCAATGTATTGTTTCTGACCTGCTGTAAGTGAAGTTCTGGTTATAAATACAGTGAAGAAATGTTTGTTTTTTAGGGCAAAGCTACACAATGGGCTATATATGTGATCTCACCATCGCGGGTAAACGTACCCCATATTTCAACTTTATAAGTCCTCAAACTAACCAGTGACCCTCCAAGTGGTGTACTCGTAGAAAATCAAAACTATGTTGACCTTCACGGTTAATCTAATTCATCATTAGAACAGACAGAAGAATATCAAAGCATGGTTGGTACTGCACACAAAATGAATAGTAAAACACCTACATGCAATTACTTGTCTCTTAAGCACTTCTAAATTTACCTTGCCCAGAGCCATTACAGCAAAGAGTATTACACATGTCCTACGAGAGACAGAAAAGACCAATGATGACGTCACATACATCTGACCTACATCGAGTTAGCCTCACTAGTACAAGAAGTCAACTTCAGACCGCAACGTGATTTCTAATGATAAACGGTTGCAATTCAAAACGTATATTTTACGTTTTATATGCGTGTGCATTGTTCATAGTTTAAACTATCGTAAGACACAGAACAGGGTCAATGATCTATATTAGGGATAGACAGTAATCATTATATTTAGGAAGAGTACTGTTTCACTAGATAAGTTATATTTCTTTCAAATATGTAAACCTAGAATTATATGATGTTAAATGTATTTCTAACTATAAAATAACAAAATAAAAACATTCACGTTTAAAATATCACTTAAGGCTACAAGGAAAGTTACGTCAAAAACATCGTTTAAGACTACAAGGAAAGTTCCGTCAAAAATATCACTTATGAAGTTACGACTTTTATAATAAATACTAGATAGTTGCTGGGATTTGAAAGTTTTATATCAATGTCATCTTAGAACTTTGAAAGGCTAAATAAATAATATATAATTAACTAATCTATAATTTTGATAAGTACATAAGGTACCATATGTAGTTAAATCCCAATGAAAGAACTCAATACCCACAAGTGGTCCCGAAAGCGCTCGGGTTAAAGGGATCTGTTTCGTTTTTTGTTTTTCAATAGTGAAATAATTTATCCATTACGTTCTGACACAACTGTTTTGATCGTAAAATTAACACTGATTTATAAATAAATGAAATGTAAAAACCGAATCTCTGTTTGTTTGTTTGCTTTTGCTCAAAGCCATTGAAATGGTTAAATCATATACAAAAGAGCAGTAAAAATATAGTTAATATATTAAAAATAGTTAAACATCGAACAGCTATATTTTTCAAGTTTTTAAAAACAAGAATAAATGTATTTTAGGATTATTTCTATTCATTTTGAAAACAACAACAACAACAAAATAAAAACTAATAGTTCTAAGAAAGATAATTTTTCCTTTTTATTAACACGGGTTGAAGTTGCAGTTCCTTCTTAACTGTACGGTAAGTACATAAGATAATATAAGCCCGCAAGAAAATGGTACTTTTAAAAAACATTTCGTGTTAAAATTAAAACTATGTATACGATTTCATTTAACTAATTTCTCACCATACCCATAGATCAAAACGTTAGTTGAAGGACTTTTTCCCCACAGCAACACTGGCATACACACACGCACACATAAAAACAATTAACATTATATAATAAAATATTTAAAGTTATACTGAAACACCAATAACAACGTTGAATTACAGCAAGTGACGTTTTCTTTATTACTTTCCTCCATCTTTTTTTGCTTGTCTTAGGAACAACATGGTCGTTCTATCAAAGGTTACATTATAAGCCAACCAAAATGTACTTACTTTGTTTCTATGAGATTAAAATATCGACTTAGACCTTCTGTACACACGCGCTTGAGGTTGCAACTGGCAAACCAGTGAATCTACAGTATACGGTTACACTTACAGAAGATAGTAGATGTAAGACAACAAAAACACTATATAATATATTACAAGAGCTTTTACTAACTGTGACACGGCATGTCTTCTTTGTGTGCCTTTCAAGGTAAATTGGTGCACGTGAGCTCACAATAAATTAAAATGAACAAACAATTCCGATTAAATTCCTGAGTAAATCAAGGCGTGTCAGTTCACTTTCTAGACATGCCTCAACAAGCGTAACGAAAGTGACTAAGTTGGACAGGCCATATACTATCTTCAGGGTTAACACTCCATAGTCCCAAACACGTCGTTTCATTTGATTGACGATGAAATTATATCGAATACTTTAGCTGAAAAGATTCTCAGTTGTTATTGTTTGTTTATAAATTCATTTAATAATACAAGAAAAAAGAATTACATTACTTTTAAACTTCGTAGATGCTGTTACTCACCTTTACCAATAGCTGTTTCAGTATAGATGTTGTTACTCACCTTTACCAATAGCTATTTTAGTATAGATGTTGTTACTCACCTTTACCAATAGCTGTTTCAGTAACAATTTAAGTTGCTATTCAAGGATAAGCAATTTACATTTGTCACTCTCTCTGCAATGGACTGCAAGATGTTGTCACTTTCCTCCTCTGTAAGCTACAGCTTCAGGAGATAATTATGTGTGGTTACCTTCCTCATCTGTAAGGCTTTCTAAGAACCGCTGGGACTTTAGGAAACAGTCAAAGTATCACCAGTTATAGCTTACTGAATACAATCCTTGCCAAATTTTCAATTATTTGTTCACAAACCACCATCGAATAGAAACGCAATAAACAATATTTATAACTAACTATTTACGTGTGTCTTTGAATCAGGCTTCTAAATAGAAAGTTATCTGAATGTTATTCCAAAAGTATTAGCAAATATGACGACAAACCTCTTATCTTTAAAGGTGTTAATCATCGCACCATTAGAACGAGGAGTTCAAGTAGAAAGAAACTGAGACATTGGCTAGCAAGTACCTGTTTTAAGGGAGCATTATGGTCTGCTAACTCACACTACTAACTTTTGCTGTACCATGCCGTGTGGTCGTGTTCTACATCCAACAACTAGTAGGAACAAAGTGGCCACTATTGCACTCGTTGTGCCACACAACCACTCACTGACTATCTCTCTGCTACAGCAAGCTCAGCCTATTATCACCGTCACGGGTCGGGCTGCTTCCTCGCTTGGCGCTGACTGGCCCGTTTGGCTTTGTAGGACAAACAGCCAACTGACAAGCAGGAATACCTGCACCATCTGTTTTTTTTTCCTCCCCATTCCAATATTTGCCCCTACTTACTCAAGTTCCTTGCCCCTCGCTCGGAATGGACTATTCTACTTCTGGTGAGCGTCTTCGAAAGGTAAGGGAAACCGTCACGTTTATCTACTTATACCCGTAGGCACAAACTCATTTATATATGTAATATATGTGTGCGTGTTGAATGTTTGTTTGGTTTTGAAGGATTTTGTTTTCTTCTGAATTTCCAAGAAAAGATACGAGACTGGCATATAAGAATCGTTTTTATTATGCATGTCTTGTATAAACCAATTTTAAAAACTCGACTATTTACTTAATAAATTGTGTATGCTTTAACAAAGACATTTCTAATTATCAGTAACTTCTGATCAAAGCACGTTAGATTTAATATACAGCTCGTTAAGCTAAGTGTTGTAGATTATAGTTGGAACAGTGGAAAATATTGGATGCAATTACACAGGGAGCATGCTTTTAGTATAAACAATTCATGATATAATGAAATACATCCTCAAACGGATTTAATTGAATCTTTGTTTATTTTGGAGCTAATTTAATAAGTTCACCGCATATTTTCTGTCTTTAGTTAATGTCACGAGATTCGAACTTTTTTATAGATGCTCATAATTTGTTTCTTTCAATTTCTGAAAATGTTTCTATGGGTAGCGTTTATTGAGTGCAGAATAATATAGTGCATTAGCAAATACAATTTAAATTCAAGTCAGTTTTTCTAAAGCAGGATCTTAACCCAGGGGTGTCGAGAGCCTGCCCAGGCCCCGGGGCCAGTAATATCATCGGGCCTCCTTTCATTCTATTTATTAACTTTTGCTGGATTTTCATAAAAGAAATTTAGGGGAAAAATTTCTTCGTGAATCCAGGAAAAAGCAGTAGCCATTTGAGCTCATTAAGTGGTATGCATTTCTAGTGAGCTTTGGAGTATCTCACTGCCGGGTCCCTCAACAGACCCCTAACTCTGAGGCCACTGCCCCCCTTGCCCCTCCTATTCTCATCAGCCCTATCTTAACCACAGACATTACTGACCTACGAAATGGCTTAAAAACAGAACAGTTATGCTACACGAGGAAGCAAAATTACACATTTCTGACTAAGTAGCTAAACTCCTGTTTAATAAACACGAGGAAGCAAAATTACACATTTCTGGCTAAGTAGCTAAACTCCTGTTTAATAAACACGAGGAAGCAAAATTACACATTGCTGGCTAAGTAGATAAACTCCTGTTTAATAAACAAATAATATATTAATCAGTTACTTAAAAAAAAGCCTTTTAAAACGGAGTTACTCGAAACCAAACTCCTGTGTTCTGAATAATCCTAAAGAAAAGAGTTTAGTCGTATATTACTTAGACAAAGGGTTGTACATCGAAAAGAGAGTTTTGGGGTAAATAACTGAGTTCTGATTTTATCGTGAGAGGTTTTCTGTAGTTACTGAACCTTCAGGAAGTATAGATTATTTAAATATGGACATGTAGTATGGATACTCAGTTTGTAGGTCATTGTAGCCTTTTACTTTACTAATGTTTTTTTTTTTAATAGTAATGCATAGTGAACACGTATTCATATTCTGCCCGGACAATAAACAAAACAGTTTGTATGTTACCAAGTTCTTCAAGTAACTGTATGCTTACTCATAGTAACATGTAACAGTTTCCTACAGAGGATTGGTTGTAACCATGATTAACTTAATATTTCAGTAGAGTGCTTTTATCTTCATCGCTTCAACCTCTTTGAGAACAGTTAGGATTGTTTGTTTGTTACAGCGCAAAGCTACACAATGGGCAACAGTTAGGAACGCCTCAGATGTTGACTGTTGTCTACAGTTTTGATTGGACATTTACCGAATTTTGTAGATTACTCGAATATTTTCTGAAACTATTCGGAGGTACAACGCATATCTTTACTTTCCTATTTTACTTCGCGAAAACACATGTTCTTGCGGATATGTACAAGAAGTAACAAGTTTAAAAAATAATAATAAGAAGAAGAATCTTCCTATTTTATTTCACATTCGTCAAAATTTGGAGATACTTTTACCACATTACAATAATCTCATTTTTATAGTCACAAATTATTTTATTATCATGTCAATAAATTATATTAAAAATCGCCTTAAATTAAATCCACCACATTTTACTTTTTTTGTACTAAAATTATACTTCGAGTATATTGAAAAGTAATTAATTTGTTTTGCCAACTTCCGATTTAAAAAAACAAACTTAGAAATGTGGGCGCTGTGATGTTACAAATTTCGTGTCATTTCTTTCTTTTTCGTGAAAATTATAAAAAGAAAAATGCCTAATGCTTAAATGCAGGCAGTGCATCAGTAATTGAAATACATATTTTTTTACGAAATGCTAGTTGTTTGGTAGAGCTCACTAGAGAGCAGCATCTATACCTTTTTTTAATATTTAAAATTAATCTTATTTCTAGATATCCGCCAGTGGCACAGCGGTATGTCTGCGAATTTATAACACTAGAAACCGGGTTTCGATATCCGTGGTGGGCAGAGCACAGATAGCCTATTGTGTAGCTTGATTTCAAAACAAACAAACGCATTTTTAGATAAATATCATCACTGTTATTGTATTCGATTGATTGATGCACTTAATAATAAATAAGCTAATGATCAACACTCGAGGATTCCTTTAATAACGAAGTTATTAAAATCGCCGCCAGAGGCCTGTCAAAAAGTGTTTGAAAAAGTTAGTTTTGGCCATCTTAGTTACCTGGAGTCTCGCTGGAAATACGTCAGGAAATATATATATAAACAAATTGACGATGTATCATTAAGAAAGTATTTTGCTTCCTTTTGTAGCCATTTTTATTCCAGTCACAAACCAGTTTATGGGACTGATGTGGCGAACTCACCACATGGAGAGTGAAACCAGTGTTCTCTTCACCCGTATATGTAATACCTACTTACCTATACCGAGTAGGGCCACTTACCTTATGTCTTGTCTGAAGAACAAAAAACTGGCTGACTGCGAGTCGATTATCGGTAAAGATGAAGATATGCTGCTTAAGGGCTTAGCACAGACACACATCAACGCACTATGACCATCCACCAGAAGCGTTGTCGTTACATCCAAGTCACGTAAAGCAAAGGAAGCTATTAACTGAAGCGTTGTCGTTACATCTAAGTCACGTAAAGTAGAAAAAGCTACTAGACATAGACAGGTGAAATACTAACTTCAAGAAACTGGTAAAAAATATATTAACTTGTTTAAACTCGGTAGTATGCAAATATCATACATAAGAAGGATATCTTGTATTAATTGATTCTTTTTTAAAGACACTACTCGAATAATTTACAGTAGAGCAGACAACGTAATTTACTTGATAACCTAATATCTTGATGCAACGCTAATTTAATGTTTACTATAATGAGTATTCTGATAAAGTGATTTATTTAATGGAGAAGGGGAGTCCCTGAATAAGGGGGTTTCCTAGAGTTTTTAATCAAATAATTCAAACTACTTTTGTTTCTTCTAATATGATATTGCCACATTTTCAAAATGGAGGATGCCCATTACTCATATTTCAAATGATGAGAAGTGAAAACACAGAAACACCTGACAAAAAGATCCACTTGTTCGTAATGATTTGCTTAGGTCGCAGTTTTTGGCACTAGATGGGGCTTATACGAATCGTGAAATAAAAGGTAATATACATTTATACGCGGTCTTGATAGAGTAGAGTATATAAGATGCCTTATATGAAACGTATAGTATAAAGAAAAAATATTTATCCAAGAAAACTCTAACAGGACGTCAGACAATTAAAATAACACGTTTGTTTTGGTTATTCGCACAAGTACACTAGCCGTCCTTAATTTTTAAAGTTATTTGGTTTGGTTGTTCTTAAGCACAAAGCTACACAATGGGCTATCTCTGCTATGACCACTACGGGTATTGAAACCCGATTTTTAGCGTCGTAAGCTTGAGACTTACCGCCGAACCGCTGGGGGACTTTAAACTGATAGAATAAAGGGAAGGCAGTATTTACGGCCAACTCTCGTGCTACTTTAATTGAATAGTAGGATTTTAACGTCACTCTTACAACGTACACACAATGTGCAAAGCGTGGTTTGATAGCAACGGGTCGCGAACCATGGAATCTAAAATTCAAAGTCTGGTATTCTAACTATTGGGCCACGCTCGACCTGATAAACACAGGAGATAGAAAACTGATAACGATCTCGCATCTTACTTTTTTCTTCTTTTTTTTTGCGGTAACGGGACGCGAACCAGAACCAGGGAACTCATACTCCACACTCCGGCACCCTAACCATTGGTCCGCCATCGGCTCCTGATGACGTTATAAGTGTATGTAATCGCTATCAACGAGAGTACACAACTAGTTAATCGATGTATTCTAATCAATATATAAATCTGTGTTTTGTTTTTTTTGTTCGATGACTCAGTATACTCCTAGTTAGAATCGGATATTGAATTAGGTATATTAATTACTGGATTAAGTTTTAATTTTAAGTTGTATAGGTACTTTGTTTTGATCAAAGGTTAATGTTAATTTAAACATAATTTACCCACAGGAATATCAGTTTTAAACTAATAAAGAGTAATAAATCTTGATTTTGCTAGAAAAAACAACACAGAAATCAACTAAAATTCAATTACTTTTTCGTCTGATACACGTACGTTTTTACAGATTGCTAATAGCAAGAAATAATCAGAAATAATGGAATTCCTTATAATATATCTATCTAGACGCAAAGCTGAAAGTTGAGTAACTTGCTTCTTGTTTCACCACATTCCAAGAGGAAGGTGTGGGAAGATTGTGACATCGTATTTTTCTGTGAAACGAAGACGACTGTAGACATTTAGGAGTGTCAACCACCAAAAGACGAGAATTGAAGATACAGTGTACCTCTTTACAATCTGAACATAAAAATTCTGCGAGGTGATTGCAGTAACGTTGTTGGCAATTTTATAGCACGATTTACAATACATGCCCAAAGCTATAGACGTTTTGATCTCTTTAAAAATT